GACCGTTAAAAAAAACACAGTAAACAAAAACTATCAAAAATGTGTAAAAACAGTTAACGATAAGCTAAAGCTAGCCTTTACGTGAAAACTATAAAAAAACCGATAGTGAGCTGAGGCAAAACCACAGTTAACTATTAATTTGAGTGAAACACAAAAAAAGAAGTAATTTACCATATGTATAGCTCAGAATAGATTCTTTGAATTGGAAATGATACTTTTGTTGCGTAAGAACACAGCAAAAGTTTGAGAAATGTAAATCACGTTAGGACTAAACTTCCCGTTCGAGTCCTACCCACCTGTTCCGTTGTTCTTTAATGTTGGTCATTACCTAGCCTTCCTTGCTCTTCACTGGTCGTTCTGGTTTACGGTAATTTCCAGCGAGATTCTTTGTTGTATCATACAGTTGTCTCAAGTTTCCTTCTCATGTAGCCTTTTCCGCTGTCATTGCTAAATCTTCCACATATTTACGTTTATCGGTTCTGATGCTCCCCTTCACTTGCTTGTTTACGTCTGCGTATTCGGATTGTGCCTTGGCTTTTTCTGCTCTTGTTCGGCTGGCGTTGATCGTTGCCTTCTTGTTCCTCCTTTCTTCAATCTTATCCAGTGTATCAACAGTGATCCATTCCTTATGATGGCGCTTCTTTTGGCCCAGAACCTCCTGACATGTTGAAACGATTGCTTCCTTGATACCTTTGCAGTTGCTCTCCATAGTAGTTCCCTCTCCATTGAGTAGATCATGAAAGGCCTGGAACCTGTTGCTGAGAGCTATGTTGAATTTGTTGAGTTTGTCAGCATCTCGGAGAAAGGCCGTATTAAACTTTTGTGAAGTTGTTTGCGCCGTTGTCCAGTGCTTTTTAAGTTTTAGTTTCATCTTGGCGACCAGCAAATGATGATCTGATTATATGTCGGCTCCTCTTCTGGTTCTCACATCCTCCATCGTCCTCCTGAACTTTTTTTTGATGCAGATATGGTCGATTTGATTCTGTGTAGTGTGATCCGGTGAAATCCAAGTGGCTTTGTGAATGTTTTTGTGTGAGGATAATGTGCCACCTATGACCAGTTTATTGAAGGCACATAGGTTTGCAAATCTCTCACCATTTTCGCTCCTTTCTCTCAGTCCATATCGTTCCATGACGTCTTCGTATCCAGTGTTGTCCTTTCCAACCTTGACATTGAAATCTCCCATCAGAATGGTCAGGTCCTTGGTTGAGCACTTCTCGAAGATCGACTGAAGCCTATCATAGAATTGGTCTTTAGCATCTTCATCGTAGTCGTTGGTCGGCGCATAGCATTGGATGACGTTCATTGTAATACCCTCTCTCTTTGTTATCAAGGAGTCTTTGGTGATCCTTATTTCATGAGATTCAGATCCTATTAGTGCATTTCGTGTTTGTTTAGACAGCATCAATGCAAATCCTTGTGTATATGAAACGTTTTCTTCTTCATGGTCAGAGTATAACAGAAGCTCCCATGAAATAGTCTTCATTGTCCAACCTGTGTCCAGTGTGTTTCACCTATCCAAAGCACTTTCAGGTTGTATGTCCTCATTTCTGAAGCAATTTGGAAGACTCTTCCGGTCCCCCACATTGTCCGGACATTCCATGTACTTATAAACATTTTTGCTCTAGTTGTTTCAAGGTGCATCGGCCTCATGACTTCCGAAGGAACTCAGCTTTCATCATGAAACGTCATAATTATTCCTTCAACTCCCAGGCTAGAGTTTAAATGGTTTAAATAATTTTTTCTGGTTAGCGTTTTTTTGGCGAGTTGGTTTTCTACGGGATAGGGTCGCTAACCCCATGCCCAACCCTCCTCCTTTACCCGGTCTTGGGACTGGCAGAATTCTCTGGTAATTAAGAAAGGAATTGTCTTTTGACTACTCCATCATTTCAAACAAGATAATTCCCTTTGTCTTGGCGATATTCGTCCTAGGAATATGGAAGGAATGGAGAATGTAATTGCTGAACCTTTGGCCATATTGTTTGATATGTTTTCGCTACAGTCTAGACTGTCAAGCGACTGGGAAGTTGCAATAATAAGTTTAGTTCATAAATCAGGAATTATTGTCTTTGTTGAGTACTATCGACCAGTTGTTTTAACCAGTGTATTTGCAAAACTATTAGAAAGTGTGGTTTGGATGGCCAATTCAATCAATGTAGGACGGTATGATCTGTTATTTAGGGAACAACATGGTTTCAGAAAAAACCTATTATATTGGATGCTATCTAAGCTGGCAACAATATGTATTAGATAGCAGCAATTGAAAGAGTAACGCTTGGCAGCGGAATATTGAGGTGAGGAAAATAGGAATGAAAATGGAAATCAATTGTTATAACTACATATTTGGAAGAGTTATGAAGCGCGTAAATGACTTTTGAAGGGAGATGTGCAAATAACGTATTTAATGTATGGTTTTTATGTTTCGCAGCGACACCCTGTAATTTTGTATAAATCGATATACTGGATTTCCTCATCCTGAGTTTTTGTCTAGTATACTATCATGCTTGATAAATCTACTTATTGTATGGAAAGTTAGACTGCAGCGACTTTTGTGAAGACGAATTCTGAATATCGGATTTAAGCAGCGAGTTTTTGTTTCAAATATGAAGCAGATATGCCAGAATGATCTTAGATTCAGTCTTACTTTGTCTTGGATAAATTAACAGGAGGAGCATTAACAATTTGTTAAGGATTAGAGTTAGACTGCCTGACGACTTTATTTTAAAGGTAGATGGTCATGTTAATGTAGTGGACACATGTCCAAATTTTTATTTTGAAAACAAAAGGACAGTGGGTCATGTTACCAAAATACTAAACAAATTTCGTGGATGACTAAACTTTCCTTGCGTGAGTTAGTTGAATACACAAAGATGACGTCTTTCGATGATGGGTTTCAATGGTTGATTACTCGTTGAAGACGCTATTTGAGACGTATATTTTACTCGTCTCTGTTAATTGAAATTTCCTGAGATCTCCCGTCAATCGTCTAGAGATATATTGAGAGCAATATTATTTCTTTTAATTCTTATTTAATAACACCAATCTTCGATGAGACTGAGTAAATGGGTTTAACGTCCCAAACCGTAAAATGAATGGCAAGCATAATAATCCTAGAATTAAATGGCTATCCATCGTCCTTATAAATGATCTGAGTCAATTTTAAATAAGAGCTCACTGCCTTATTTAGACCTTATTTGGATTGCGCAAATCATAGTGAGGTTGAGTGAAAACTTTTCTTAACAACATTACAGCTCGAAACCCCTCAACTGCTATCGAACTTCGGTTATCCATCGTCTTATGATAATGTTTTACTGCTAAGCACAGCTAAGAGCAGATAAAGTAATACTAAGTCAGAGGCTTTTTCGAAGCCACCGTAGAAAACGTCTACAGATTTTCTGTTACCATGCTACTGTACCCCTTTTCCTTTTGCTACAGAGAGATGAGTGCTATGTGATAATTCCAGTCCTGACAGCTGATTTGGGTTGCATAGGTTGTTTAACTGTAGGTGTGTCGCCATTAGTTAATTAGTCAGTGAATTCGCATTTACATCAGATCCTCCTAGTTCATTAACGACGCTGTCAAGTTAAGTGAAATTTTTCACACATTTCAGATCCTCTCCACTTAGTGTGACTGAATTGGTGTTCTTTGTGTTTTATGTCAAGATTCTGCTTTTCTCCTTGTGTATGTTGAGGATTACACCCACAAAAGCTGCTGCTACACTATCTGTCTTCACCTGCATTTGTTTCCTTCTATGTGATAGAACAGCTAGGCCATTTGTAAATTCTGAGATTTGTAGTTGCATTGGAGCTTTTCATTGCATTATACCCCTCCCCTGAGATATGGAGATATTCATAATGCAGTCCGTCTGCAATACCACTGTTCAAATGGTTCAAATAGTTGAGGACGGCATAGAAGAAGCTTTCGCTTAACGGGCTTCCGTGTCTAGTAGCAGTGGATCACCAATACTTCCAGGCAAGAACCTGGGTATTTTAACGATGATAGTGGGCTTCCTGTTCATTCCGATACAGGTAGTGCTAAACCTTGTGATTCTAGTTTCATTGATTCCAGTGCTTCCAATGATCGTTTATCGTTATCCACGATTTCGAAAAACAGTACAGAGTCATACAGCAGTCCAGAATTGATTGAAACTCAGAATCATTGAGAGACAAAAGCTTTTAGACAATCAACTTATCGGACTTCTTATGTTATTGTATCAAATATGGTTTATCCTAATGATTCAACTATTTCTGATGAAATTTCTCATAAGTATGAGGAAAATTCGTCATATGTATCAAAAAAGAGCAAAAATCTGATGCTGATTCTTTTGATGCTCCTTTAATCTCCGATGAATTTCTTGATACATTTGGGGAAAATATTTCAAGATAATCAAATCCTGATGTCATATCAAATGGTATTTGTTCTCATAATGCGTTTTTGAGATAACTAGGAGTATTTGAATTGTAGTACAAACTAGGAATCCCAGGAATAACGCAATTTAAGACACAAAAAACTAGGTGAGCACCGACGAACATATCGTATTTGGAATTCAAAACTAGGCAGTCATCAAGTACAGAGAGACCGTTGGTTCATACACAAACCACATCCGCCACAGCTTAAATAAGGATCAAAAATTCTGCAATCAATCGCACATCTCCTTAGATTCATCGTGCCTATCTAACCACGCATTAGATGTAGACTCTGTACGATCTACAAAATACTCATTATTATTAGAAATAAAAACTGAAATCGGGACAGAGTCAACTGGTGCCTGAAATTGTATTTGATCGACATGTCGGTGTGCATACTTAGGCCATTGATATCTATGGTTTGCACCATAGATTTCCCGATATTCTTTACCACAGTCGAAGATCATTTCCATTATATGTAACTTTTGTAGACTCCAAACGTATCATATTTGAACGAAGAATTCCTCCTTTTAATAATTTTGTTTGGCACCCCTTTGCTGAACCGTATAATCATTCACTCAAAGCAGCACTCCATCATTGAACCATAACAACTGAGGAACGTGCTAAGAATTTTTCAGGATGATAAATGAACTTCAGAGCTTTGTGATTAGTAACAATAGTGAATTTCTTTCCAAATAAATATTTATGAAGTCTTTTACCAGCCTGAAATACAGCTAATGCTTCTCTCTGAGTTTGTGAATAACCTTGTTTGTTAACAGTAAGTTTGCGTGAAACACACAACGGAGCTAGTCTTTTCATATCTGGTCTAAAACCATTACCATCAACTAGGTATCCAAGGCATTCGAAACTGGATGCACAAAATGAACACTTATTTGGATTCACCGCAATGTTCTGCTCAATTAAACAACGCAATAAAGCAATAAGTCTCAGTTCATGAACTATCTTATCAGTACCATGAACGATGAAATCATCTTGATGAACTTCAACACCTTCAAGATCATTAAGTACCATACTCATAACTTCCTGAAATATAGCTGGAGAACAACTAAGGTCAAATGGAAGGAAGTTGTATTTGAACAAAGCGAAAGGAATATTAATTGTTGTCAAAATAGATGAAGATTGATCTAAAGGGATTTGAAGATAAGCATCTTTTAAGTCAACTTTCGAAAACACTTTAGAACCATGAAGTCGATTTAGAATATCTTTAGACTCCATCGTTGTGCATGTTTGCTTCAACAAACGGGAGTTCACTGTTAATCTATAATCACCACATATTCTAGGGCTATTGCCATCCGACTTCAATAGCGTAACAATAGCAGTACCCAATGCTGAGGACTGAATCGGTCTAACTATACCATTCACACACAAATCATTCAATGACTTATGCACTAATCCTCGAAGACCATAAGGTATTATTCGCCTTTTAAAAAAGATTGGATCACCCTGTTCTTGAAGTTTTATAGGCTGAATTTTCATACCTCCACTACACTCAGCACACGCAGCTATCAAAACTTTAAGTAAAGCATTAGAATTCTCTGTAGAAACTAGTAAAGACAATTCCACTTTAAGCCTTTTCAGATTTTTAAACACAACATTGACAGTCTTGTTTCACTAACTGAAAATTCACAAGATATATATGAAGAGTTATCATCTCTTATTAGCAATTCACAACATCCTCGTATAGGCAATCTGTGTCCAGTAATCCCAAATATTGAGACTTCAGTGTGTCGTACCAAAACATTAGGATCCAAAGATTTCAAGTTCTTGAATGAAATAATGGACTCTATACTACCTGTGTCCACAATAAAATCATGAAATGAACCAAGGGGTGTGTAAAACAGCTTTTCAACATGGACATTACCTTTCGAAACGGTGTAGAAAGACAAATGATCATTAGGAACAGCCGAATTATTGGGATCTAAATTACAAGGCTAAATACTACTCGAAGCAAAATAAATAGTGTCTTTGCATGCTGACTGAATGTCTCCACATTTAACCTTTTAGCATTATGAAACGCACATGATTTATGGGGATGAAAGCATTTACCAAACTTTTTGTCCAAGGATGGTATAATTCAATGGAATTATGGTGAAGATATCATCTATAAACACGTGTTTCGATACACCGTAGAAATGTCCTCGTTTCAGTCTTGTCAGTCAAATATGTTTTCTTTCACAATTTAGTTATATAGTATTTTTATATTTTCAAGAAGGAAGTTCGCTTTGAATAATCGATTTGTAACACACAAAAGCAGCAAACTTGGGATCAACCTACTGGAAACTTATTTATAAAAGTTTGATAACCTTAAATACCAGTCTTGATGAGAGGACTAAAGTAAATAAATATTCCGAGGATGAAACATTTTGAGCAGTACCATGAATAAAAATGGTCAGTGTGTTCAGTTGAAATGACAAAGGTTATCAAAGATATTTCAGTATACATAACTTTTGTCTTCTTTAAATCAATAGTGAAGATCGAAAATTTACATTTTCCGTGAATTTGATGAATTAAAGTTGAATAATGGTAGAAGTAAAGAAATTGTTAACAGTAGTCAAGATATCAAACTTACCATGAGAATTTTCTTCTAATTGTAAAAGTTACTTATGTGCTTTTCTTTACTAATCAGTTCAACAATTGAAAATAAAGTTTTTCTATTTTCATTTACTCATCATTACATACTGCTTGAAGCATTCGTAAACTGATCACTTCAAAATAGATGTCAAACCAATACACTCTTAAAGACTGAGATTTCCAAGTTTCATATTCTTATTAATGTGTATAGAAACTCGAATTTGTACCTTTCTCTTTCCCCTTCCATTGTGTGTATTCTAAGCTGGTATATGTAGTAGGTAAATAAAAATGGAGTTGATAGTGATAATACCAGAAGTTGTAAAAAATATTATAGCGTACTTATTGTTAACACACTGAATCTTATTATTCAGCTAATTATTTCAAATTACAGCAACAAAAAATAAATACAAATGGAGACAACAGGGAACCGTAAAAAATGTGATTGGTTATAAACATTTGTTATTAATGTAAATAAAAAATGGTTACAATTGAGTTAAAAATTTCTATTCGAAGTATTACTGAAAGTTCAGTTAAGAATTCCAATAAAATACTGATAATCTTCAGGAAATTTTCGGAAATATAGTGAGAAGCCATGACCAGTGGAGTTCCGCCATGTCAGGAGTGAGGAAGGTACCTACCAAAGACATAAGGTATCGCGTATTAACTAGAGATAGACTTTCACTACTTTTCTAGATTTTCAAAGGTCGTCTAACTTAGATGAACTCGTCTGAACAAAATTCCACAACCCCTATACTAGTCCTTCAAATCATTGACATAATAATTTGTGTCCGATTAGAGAACGAAGTTTAAAGAGAGACCTTTTAGTAGACTCAGAAATGTTATCTTTGCATCATAGTAATAAATAAGTTATTCATTTTATTAACTTATCGTATGATTGAATAAAAATAGTAAGTGTCATTTAGGTGAAATTATTCTCTGCGACTCGAAGAGATACAACACATAAAAGTTCATTCACTGTAAATAATATAAAGTAATATCATAGCTCTGCAAATTACAAAGGGAATTATACTTTTAGTGAATGGAAATTCTAGTAAGTAGTTCAATAATACAAAAAGAAATCTGTTGCAATGAATTCATATGGATGTAATCTTTGTAATATAAAATCATAATAGATATCTTAGATCTATTTGATTGAAATGATAATTGAAATATTTTTCCTTCTTTTTTTCAAGAAACATATAGCAGTTTGTCAGTGTTCAATAGACCTGGACTAGATCGAAACAAATTTGTTTTTGAATAAATTACGCCTTCATAAAGTCTTCACTGTTTCTATGCTGAAAAGTACTTTTACTTACTGGTAAATGTAACCTAACAATGAGTCCTAAATACTTTCTGCCGACAAATGTTATACAACCACTTAGTTATTTAAAACAATACTACTATTGTCGCTATTTTCGTAGCTGTATAACTGAATCATCTTTAAAGCGATTTCCTAAGTCATCTCAAAATAAATGCATTGAGCCACTTTAATTATGTTGATCAAAGTTTGTGTACATCAAACTCGTATTTATATATATCCATCTATATAGTTGAAACGACACTGTTATCTTGCTACTCTTACTACCAAAATCATTATGTTTCTTTAAAAAGTTTTAGAATATCACGATCAAGAATTTTAAGTGAAATATACAGTTTAAGTTCCAGTTACTGAATTTTTTTCGTCTTTACGAATCTGATTCAATACTAAACTAGACAATTGAGTTTAAACAAACAAAACATATCTGCACTCACAGCTTAGAACATGAAGTTTATATAAATTAGTGTACTAAAACTGTCCACATACAACATATGACATATGAACATCAGATATTTTATGTACAACAAGGTACCTTCAGTAATATATCCACTGAAAACCGAAGAAATCTATTTGTTCTATTTTTTTATTTCTACCTAATTCAATATAATACTTAGTCGGAACAGTTATACTCTCTTTTTTTAGTAAACATTAAGTGAATGATATGATTACTATAATGATAATAAACAGAAATTCTGAAAAAAATATTTTACTAAAGATTGACTGGAGAAGTAACATTGACATGAGTTCTTAGTGTTAACGTCACTATGCAGCACTTCAGTGTTTTTTCAATATGCTTTCTTATCTCCCATAAATGCCCTGGTACGGCCGAGAGTGGAGAGAGTCCGCTCTCCCTCTCGAAATGCTCTCACATAGTCACGCGAATATATAGCCTCTGCCAGGAAAGTCCTACTCACTGCCTTCTCGTGCCACGGCTGTTGTATACGAAATTGAGAGGACGAAAAGCAAATGTCCGGCGCTTTAACCGGGTTGGTGGGTACGGAAGATTCACCTAGAGAAGTTGGAAAACCCTGATTCCAAACCACTGGTGCACATGGGCTCCAGTATCCTGAGGGAACAAATGGCGTATGAATGAATCGTCTGTCACCGGCTACCATGAGACTACATCTCCTTACGATGCTCCACTGCCTTGTGGATCAGACCTTTAGGTCAAAGGCTCGGGGTGTGGCTCTCTAAGAGAACCACCTGCTTCAGTTTGGGCACCTGGGCAGTATCACAGCCCTCACACAAATCGAATGAGATTTGTGGGGGCGCATATGTATCTGGTGCCCCTTTGTACCAATATTTATGTATTTAAATAAAAAAATAAAAACACTTTCTTATCAGGAAAGCATCAATGAAATCTTAAACTTCAGGCGAAATTTCTGAATAATATACTTTAGAAGGTGTTGAGTTGTTTGAAAATAGAAAAGTAAGTACACATAGTCCTATTTATTTGATCTAGAGTTATTAATTTGCTCAAAGAATAAAAATCAATCGTGAGATTCTTAAAATGCAAAAGTCATCAAGATAAGATATACAATGATTCAGATTTACTATAAAATTCAACAAACACTTTGTTGATTTTATATAGTTGAGATCATGAGTAAATTGAATTTAGACCACCATGAAAAACCTGGAAGCACTGGACGGCCGTTTCGTTCTATTGTGGGACTCCTCAGCAGTGCTCATCCACGATCACGCCTCACGAGATTCGAACCCAGGACCTAACAGTCTTGTGCAAGAGCACTTAAACGATAGACCAATGTTGATTGTTATAAGGGAGATCACCGTCCTAAGTACCTTTATAATTTCAACTGAAAAATGCTAAGTTATTCAAAATGACCTAATCTGACCTATCATTTAAGTAAATAACTGGATACTAATTAGAATAAATTAATTAGAAATATACTGTGTTATATACAAAGGTTTAGCTTTAAATAAAAAATATATAAGGATGGTTATGTCTTTGCCAATATCAAACAGATAATCATTGAAAACCAATAATCGAAAACGATTGTCTCGTCTTACTTTCGATAAAATATGTAGGTCCTGAGTTTCATCACGTATAAAGTTATGAACGATAATTACTAATGAGCTTCAAATAAAGACGAAACAGCTATTCAGTGCTCTTACTTTTGATATCAGTTTATCAAAAAAGTTTATCTTGGAACTGATTTATATTTTACAGATTATCTAACCAAAAGAATGTAGAAACTTAAAATTATTCATCTTTTACTTTTGTAGACTCGTTGAATTATAATACAAGTTATGTAATTTAAAATAACAACTATTGTAATTTTAGTCAGACGATATTTAAAATTTACAT